CTCGTAGATAAGTTTAGTGTGCAAAAGGTAAACATTACGATGGTTCAGATCCAGGGGCCAGATTCACGAAAGCACTTACGCAAGCACTTACGAATCTGAACATCTTTCCTCAATCTTTGGCGGCTTTGTTTACAATTATTAAACAGTTAATGAGCTGCGAAGCACCAGGAGGCTGTTTATAACAATAACAACAGTTGATTGGCAAGTTTTCATGCTTGTAAACTGTTTAATAAATGTAACCAAAGCCGTCAAAGATTGAGGAAAGATGTACACATTCGTAACTGCTTGCGTAAGTGCTTTCGTGAATCTGGCCCCAGGACTGGTGCCCGCCAAACACACACCGAAACTACGACGTTGGTACAACGTTCGAACAAGATTTAACACCTCCTAACCAGTTATAACAACCAATATAGCCAGTTGTAACAACGTTCTAATACGTCATAAACACGTTAAGCCAAGATGTAACAACTTTATTACAAGTTGTAACAAGCGGAAAATAGAGACAGTTTCGGATTGTGTTTCCAGCATGTGAGGTTGTTCCCACACGCGGGGCGACACAAGCAACACAATGGGAAGAAGTTTATTGTTTTTATTCCCTTACAAGATTACGTTATGCAGGCGATGAGTCACAATAACGTGGCTGAAGTCACAATCGACTTGAGAATGGTCCAGGACGGACCGAAACGTCGTCGTCCCTTCAATTTCTAGTGTGTGGTCTGGTCAAGATTACGTTAGTTTCAGGGCAAGTTTTGCGCACCAATAATATTCGACCGACAAGCGAACAACGGGGAAATATATCTTGACTTTGTCGATAGGAAAATCTTAGACGCTGCAAATTGTAGGTTATCGAGTGTGTGCACACGCAGGGTGCAGTCGCACCTCCACAGATCTCCAGTATCATCTATTGATACTGGTAATGGCTCAAAAGGGCCACCACTTACGGGCTATTCATGCCCGTGCCACCTTTTGGCTGGCTTAATCTTTATCAATCAATCAATCGAGTGTGTGCAATATACTGTCTTTTGTGATCCAGAGATTTAGTTACATGTTCTAGTAGAGACTTTTACTGCAGTTTATGTCTACTAAAGGGAGTACATTAACATAATGGTGCTCATGACAGTGGATGAGGTGACAGAGAAGAGTCCTGGCAGATTGATTGATTGATAAAGATTAAGCCACCTAAAAGGTGGCACGGGCATGAATAGCCCGTAAGTGGTGGCCCTTTTGAGCCATTACCAGTATCAAGAGCTGATACTGGAGATCTGTGGAGGTGCGACTGCACCCTGCGTGACGGGAGATGTCTCCCGTGTCAAAAGTGGGGAAGGCGAATACGAGTTCCTGGCGTTCATCTCTCACAGAGCAGCCCGTTCTCGCCAGCGTTCTCAACATCAAGAAACTATCGTACTAAAGTGCCCTTATCCTAACCTACCAGAGAACCCACACCCAGAAAACGGGACAGTATGTCAGTTGTAGTACGACAGCCTTCGGCCTTAAGTGACGTACACGTCAAAATGCGACGTGGTATTAGGACGACGTGTTGCACAGCGCGCGGAGCTCCGGGCGGTCCGAACTCTCACCGTAAGACATGAACACGAGGGTCGGAACACCCGCTCTGGAATCTTAGGCACGTGCGGTGTTCCTCGGGGCCAGACGACTGGAAGCGGGTGACCCACATCCGGAGGCGTTGGTCTCATCCCCTACTTCCTGCTGCGCCACCGTTACTCACTCCCAGCATTATTCCCACTTTGTCAGACACGTCTTGCAAGATGCTATCAACGCGGTATCAAATTCCGTTAAGATTTTTTTTTGTAAACGACTTATATATATGTATGTGTGTGTAAATCACGAAAAATAAACACGTGATTAAAAATGTGACAGTGTCAGACCACGGAGGAAAATTGAAACAGGAATTTCCTTAAGTACTCCTTCTGAAGATGTATTAATATACGAAAGTACTTAAGGAAATTCCCGTTTCAATTTTCCTCCGTGGTCTGACACTGTCTGTTTATACAGTATATATATATATATATATATATATATATATATATATATATATATATATATATATATATATATATATATATATATATATATATATATATACTAAACCCACATACGGCGTTGTCGTGGATGATATTCAGGTCTCCCAGCAGAGCCGGCGCTGCCCAACAGGAGGTGGGAGCAGTGAGGGATTATAGTGTCACAGCTCCACTATGAGGGATGACTGGTAACTGCTATACCGGATGACTAATTGACTACCTTGTCAATATATAATACCTTGTTGAACATACAAATTTTGACCAAATTTCACAAATTCTCGAAAATAATTTCGTTTGCCTAACAAAGTTGTCATGATCATTCAAGGGTGTTATATTTAATGAAGGGAAAATACTGCTAAAACAATGGACTACTAAATAATGCACTACAAAAGGTACTCGAGAGACCTGCCGCCTGCACGATGCGGTACGACAATGTTTCCCGGGAGGAGCCAAGGTGGTGGCAACACAGATGTTCCTTCAGTGTTTTCTAGGTCAGTCGCTGGGCCCAGGACGCTGACCCCGGATGTTGAGAGGTCCCCTCCCGAGAGGCCCCCGGGAGAAGGAAGGGGGGGGGGGGTGGAGCCCAAGATGTGCCGAGGATGCGGTAGCGTGACCTCCTTCCCTAAATACCAAGTTGGAGGCTATTGTAGGTCCTTGGTACTAGGTACTTATTGCCTCCTTACGCCCGTCAGACTTTGCAAGAGCAAAGTTCAGTAGAACTTCGGTTTCAAATCTTTTTACCATGTCGTAGCTCAGTCGATTAAGGCAGCGTCTGGGATGCTCCCGGACGTAGGTTCGAATCCTCGTCACGACCCATGTTGAGTTGTTCATTTGCAAGAGCAAACAGTCTCAGGGTTTACCAGAGTGAGGAGAAGGATATTGCACACTCTTTTACTCCAGAACTGCTGTTATCACACACCTGTTTCAGGATTCCTTTGCCTTCCGTAGTATGAGGTACACATGGAGTAACTTAACGCGAGAAAACACAATTATGTATAGAACTTGTGTAAAAATAGATCACACAGTAGACGGTCGTACATGACCCTGGCAGCAGTGTCTGTAAACTGTGGCAACTGTGGTAGAGGCTTCGAGATCAACAGGTGCCACGAGCTCAACAGGTGCCACGAGCTCAACAGGTGCCACGAGCTCAACAGGTGCCACGAGCTCAACAGGTGCCACGAGCTCAACAGGTGCCACGAGCTCAACAGGTGCCACGAGCTCAACAGGTGCCACGAGCTCAACAGGTGCCACGAGCTCAACAGGTGCCACGAGCTCAACAGGAGCCACGAGCTCAACAGGTGCCACGAGCTCAACAGGTGCCACGAGCTCAACAGGAGCCACGAGCTCAACAGGTGCCACGAGCTCAACAGGTGCCACGAGCTCAACAGGTGCCACGAGCTCAACAGGTGCCACGAGCTCAACAGGAGCCACGAGCTCAACAGGTGCCACGAGCTCAACAGGTGCCACGAGCTCAACAGGAGCCACGAGCTCAACAGGTGCCACGAGCTCAACAGGAGCCACGAGCTCAACAGGTGCCACGAGCTCAACAGGTGCCACGAGCTCAACAGGTGCCACGAGCTCAACAGGAGCCACGAGCTCAACAGGTGCCACGAGCTCAACAGGAGCCACGAGCTCAACAGGTGCCACGAGCTCAACAGGTGCCACGAGCTCAACAGGTGCCACGAGCTCAACAGGAGCCACGAGCTCAACAGGTGCCACGAGCTCAACAGGTGCCACGAGCTCAACAGGAGCCACGAGCTCAACAGGTGCCACGAGCTCAACAGGTGCCACGAGCTCAACAGGTGCCACGAGCTCAACAGGTGCCACGAGCATTGATTACCAATTGCATTACCATTTCACTGTATAATTTTAAGTCAACCTTTTCAAAATCAAAATGGTTGAATGGGGAGAGAAGGAGCCTAATGCAATGACCCTGATAACTGGCGAGAGTTTGTTGAATGGTGTGATAACTAGTTAAAGAGTTTTGGGGGATAACTTGTGAATGGTGTGATAACTAGTTAAAGAGTTTTGGGGGATAACTTGTGAATGGTGTGATAACTAGTTAAAGAGTTTTGGGGGATAACTTGTGTGTGTGTATAGTGGAATGTTTAACCCATTGTTGTGTTGTTCCACAGGATGAGGTTAACGTGGTGGTTCCTGCTGGCGGGACTCCTGGCGGGGGTGACGGCTCAGCAGCACCAGAACCAGGCTCCTCAAGGTCAGTCTTTGTCAACATTCAGCACATGACAGAACATTCACACCACTACACAGCACTCACCCCTACTGTAGCAGTGAGGGAACCACTACCTGTAGCAGTGAGGGAACCACTACCTGTAGCAGTGAGGGAACCACTACCTGTAGCAGTGAACTCACTACCACACTCACCAGTCGCCGCCACCACCATCACCACACTCACCACTAACCACCACATTCACCACACCACCACCACACTCACCACCACCACACGAGTAAGTGGAGAATCAGCCGACAGTCAGCACCACTCGGTCAAGAGACTTGTATTAAACACTTCAACTACTTCACACATGCAGATTGTAAGTCACAATAACGGGGCTGAAAAGTAAATCCCCCCCCCCCCCCAGCAACCCACACATCTGAAAATAAACGATGTGACGACGTTTCGGTCCACGTGGACCACCTGGACCTGTAGCCAGACTTGCTAATGGTCCAGAACCGACCGAAACGTCGTCACCTGATAATGATCCAAGACGGACAAGAACGTCTTCAATTCCTCTTATTTTCAGACGATTGGGTTGGGCGTCTTAAATTTCAGACCCCAGCTACGGACCCACATCACGTCTGGGAAGATCTCAATGACCTCAAGTATAAACATCGTGACCACTCGAGGTGACTGTGTGTGTTACGCCCCGGGGAGAACAGGGCTACAGCGGCGTTAGAACATATATACTTGGTCTTGAACCCCCCTGTAGAAGGGGGGGTTCTACAGGGGGGAGGGGGGTTCTACAGGGGGGTGGGAGGGGGGGAAGCTCTTGGGAGGGGGGGGGGGAGATCGTGGTAGTGAGTATCTCTTATCCTGCTAACACGAGTCAGAATTAATCTTTTCCTTACTCACCTGAGTAGATAAACACATACCAACTCTCTTGGTCACGGGAGACATATCCCGTCACGCAGGGTGCAGTCGCACCTCCACAGACCTCCAGTATCATCTATTGATACTGGTAATGGCTCAAAAGGCCCACCACTTACGGGCTATTCATGCCCGTGCCACCTTTTGGGTGGCTTAATCTCCATCTTCATCTCTCTTGGTCAGTGGTGAGAGTCGTGGACACAACACGGCTAGTTCACACGCACGCGGTTTCATAACCCGCTTAATGCATTAGATAAACTAATGTGATTACTACTAAAGGTTGCTTATTTAATGTCAACATCAGATATAGGATGAAGTAGACTTTGCAAACTGTTAGTTTACCAGTACTGACCATGATTGGATAATCCAGGGGGGTAGAAATAGCCTAAGCTACTCTATCCCTTTATGATGTATTTCTTGCTTATCTTAATAAACATACTTGAACTTGAATTGGATAATCCTACTAACACGTTTGCAACCTAATAATGGGATGTACATCAAATCACTAGTAGTACCCTAGTGAGTGTTTTACTAAATTCATCTTTGGGAGAGCCGGTTGGCCGAGCGGACAGCACGCTGGGCTTGTGATCCTGTGGTCCTGGGTTCGATCCCAGGCGCCGGCGAGAAACAATGGGCAAAGTTTCTTTCACCCTATGCCCCTGTTACCTAGCAGTAAAATAGGTACCTGAGTGTTAGTCAGCTGTCACGGGCTGCTTCCTGGGGGTGGAGGCCTGGTCGAGGACCGGGCCGCGGGGACACTAAAGCCCCGAAATCATCTCAAGATAACCCCAAGAAGATTGGGAGAGGTCTCTATGAAGGGGAACTGAGTGGTTGTGGTCGCTCTATGCTCTATCACTGGGGCTGTTTCTGCCTCTATGATAATTTAACGTCTGTTCTGCTATCACTTCTCGCTCCACCAGAAGTGGCCCCCCCCCCCCACTTGGGCTGGACGGTAGAGCGACGGTCTCGCTTCATGCAGATCGGCGTTCAATCCCCGACCGTCCAAGTGGTTGGACACCATTCTTTCACCCTCCGTTCCATCCCAAATCCTTATCCTGACCCCTTCCCAGTGTTATATAGTCGTAATGGCTTGGCGCTTTCCCTTGATAATTCCTTCCTTCCTTCCTTCTGGCTCTATGATATGTTTAATGTGTGCCCTGTGCCATACCATGATGGCACAGTGCCTCAAGCCTCACATCAGGGAGATATCATGCTTTGTACAATGAAAACCGCCCCGCGCTTCGCCAGCGATATGTAACCACACACCTTTAAGTTTAGATTTAGGAAAGACTTGGGTAAATACTGGTTCGGTAACAGGGTTGTTGATTTGTGGAACCAATTACCGCGTAACGTGGTGGAGGTGGGGTCCCTCGATTGTTTCAAGCGCGGGTTGGACATGTATATGAGTGGGATTGGGTTGTTATAGATAGGAGCTGCCTCGTATGGGCCAATAGGCCTTCTGCAGTTGCCTTTGTTCTTATGTTCTTATGTTCTTACCTGGGTTCTCGAACCACCACACACCTGGGTTCGTACCCTGGCCGGGGAGGGACGACTAGGGCGCACAATCCTTAACTGTACGCCTCTCTTCACCCAGCAGTAATTGGGCACCCGGTTGTTAAACGATTGGCGGGGTTCGTGTCCCAGGGAAAACTAGTGGGTAAGACTTGTCATGAACGACGGGACGGACAAGCTGGCAGCCTGCTGACAGGATTTTTGAAACCACATTCGTGTGAGAGCGTAGTTTTTACCAACCAGTGGCCAGATTCACGAAGCAGTTACGCAAGCACTTACGAACCTGTACATCTTTTCTCAATCTTTGGCGGCTTTGTTTCCAATTATTAAACAGTTATAATGAGCTCCGAAGCACCAGGAGGCTGTTTATAACAATAACAACAGTTGAATGGTAAGTTTTCATGCTTGTAAACTGTTTAATAAATGTAACCAAAGCCGTTAAAGATTGAGGAAAGATGTACTCGTTCGTAAGTGCTTTCGTAAGTGCTTTGGTGAATCTGGCCCCAGGAGTTTCAGCTGTAAACACAAAGTTTATAGTATGGGAATACAAGCCCATTTCAGAAGTCTGGTTGACTTGGTTTTAATTGTTGTGATATTCGAAGCGTTTAGAACTAAGCTTCTGCTTCCTAAGCTTTTATTTCTGTCTTAAGTCACTCCTTGACACTTACAAGGAAGAACCCCCAAGGTCTTATCACATGACAGACAGACATCATAGAAACATGACAGACAGCACGGACAACCACAATAACAACTGCAAGCAAAACACACACACACACACACACACACACACACACACACACACACACACACACACACACACACACACACACACACCACACAAGTGAAAGAACTTTTTTAGTGTCAGAGTGGTTGACAAATGGAATGCATTAGGAAGTGATGTGGTGGAGGCTGACTCCATACACAGTTTCAAGTGTAGATATGACAGAGCCCGATAGGCTCATGAATCTGTACACCTGTTGATTGACGGTTGAGAGGCGGGACCAAAGAGCCAGAGCTCAACCCCCGCAAACACAACTAGGTGAGAACTAGGTGAGTACACACACACACACACACACACCCACACACACACACACACACACACACACACACACACACACACACACACACACACACACCCAGCCCTCCACCACAGAAAACTGTAACATCCCACACGGCTGGACATCAAGGGAAGGGAATACTCAAACATTTTGGTTTTCAGGGCGTAGCTTGCGCAAGTCCACAGTGATACACCTGATCTCCCAGCCCAGCCAGGAGGTGAAGAGCCGCAGGGTACATCAGGACCGTCTGGGTACGACACACTTCCCTTCTTCCCCTTCCAGACTCCTTGCATGCTCTCTCCACACTCTCCCTCTCTCTCCCTCACAAGGACCTTGCATGCTCTCTCCACACTCTTCCCTCTCTCTCTCCCTCATGGGGCTCTTGCATGCTCTCTCTTCCAACTCTCCTCACCTCCACTACTTCCCTGCTTCGGGATCTGAGACCCGCTTCAGCCTTACAACAAGTGTAGATGAACAATTATGCAGACAACAAGCCAATAGTGTGGCTGCACAAATAACCCAACGCACATAATGTACACACACACACACACACACACACACACACACACACACACACACACACACACACACACACACACACACGCACACGCACACACCTTTCCCATCTGTACTGTTGAGTGCTTCTGCAGCTTGGCATGTTCCACTGTCGCACCACTAACATCAATGGAACATTCTAACGAATTTACGAAACGCGTTTGATATGTTTGACTGCTGGAGACTAGCGCGGGGAACCACACACCGCCGGTTGTTACTTAACGACCAATTACTGGTATATATATATATATATATATATATATATATATATATATATACATATATATATATATATATATATATATATATATGGTCATTAACCCGAGAGTCGTCAGTCATCGCAATGGAAGCGAGAGGTCATCAATCATTTTGTAAATGGTCACTAGCCCGTCGTTATGTAAAGCGGGTCATCGGTTATTACGTAGCTTAGGTTATCAACAGTCATCACCCCGGAAGGTCATCGAGTCATCACCGGGAAAGTCGTCAATATAGGCAGTCGTCGCTATACTGTGCTCGCCTATCATATAGGGATATACTCAGCTTCTCAGTATATATACATTAAGAGTTTATACAGGAAGATTATATATATATATATATATATATATATATATATATATATATATATATATATATATATATATATATGTCGTACCTAGTAGCCAGAACTCACTTCTCAGCCTACTATTCAAGGCCCGATTTGCCTAAGAAGCCAAGTTTTCCTGAATTAATATATTTACTATAATTTTTTTCTTATGAAATGATAAAGCCACCCTTTTCTCTATGTATGAGGTCAATTTATTTTTATTGGAGTTAAAATTAACGTAGATATATGGCCGAACCTAACCAACCCTACCTAACCTAACCTAACCTATATTAATAGGTAAGGTTAGGTTAGGTAGCCAAAAAAAGCTAGGTTAGGTTAGGTTAGGTAGGTTAGGTAGACGAAAAAACATTAATTCATGAAAACTTGGCTTATTAGGCAAATCGGGCCTTGAATAGTAGGCTGAGAAGTGCGTTCTGGCTATTAGGTACGACATATATATATATATATATATATATATATATATTATATATATGATTTTGTGATTGACGATCACAAAACACTGATCATTTTATGCGGAAAATCCACAGAGAAATATGAAATGAGGTGAACGTTTCGGCTTTGTTAAAGCCTTTGTCAACACCAGACTGGTCAGTCTGGTGTTGACAAAGGCTTTAACAAAGCCGAAACGTTCACCTCATTTCATATTTCTCTGTGGATTTTCCGCATATATATATATATATATATATATATATATATATATATATATATATATATATATATATATATATATATATATATATATATATATATAATATCGGCGTTAATAAGCCTCCAGAGGTCGACAGGTCTTATAGGCTCAACACCAAGGGCTATCATCACGACCAGAGATGAGAGAGAGAAAGCATACGAATGCACGTAGTTGTAACTAGTTCCCCCTATACCTTCCTCATCCTCAAATACATTCACAAAATCTATAAAATACAATAAAATACAATAAACAGAGGGATAAGACCACTCCCTGTCATTTTAGTTCCGTCTGGGTCTTCAAAACTGTCTTGAGGATTTCAAGACAGTGGGTATAAATAAAGTATATTAAAGTATATTAAATTTATAATTTAAAGTATAAATTAACTCATGTTGCTGGTGTAGTATATATATATATATATATATATATATATATATATATATATATATATATATATATATATATATATATATATATATATAATGAAATTTTTTCCATATAAAATGTAGATTTTCTATATAGTTTACAGATATGCAACAAAGTTTGCAATGTAATAATGTATTTAATGAGTTTACCTCATGATTGCAGATGCCATTGCTGGGCTGGCGTCTGCGGGTCAGCCCGGAGCCAGGGCGGACGACGCCGCCTCCCATGCGGTCAACGCCTCCCTCCACCTGGGCGTCATTGATGCTGTGGGCGGCGTGGTGGCCGCTCTCACTCCCGTAAGTATCCCTCACCACCGCGTCTCTCCTCTCTCACCTCTCCCTGAGGTAAAAAAAAGCATCACCAACTCTGTACTCGACTCCAAAACTGTACCGTCATAACTCCTTCAAGGATAAAGTATCTGTGTTGCTTATAACAACTACTCTGTCACACCATGTTCATGTGATCCAACACACGACGTTGTAACGAGACGATAACTTACTCGATATCGTGTTACTCAAGTTATCACGATACTGAGGAAGTTACTCGAACTTACTCGAATACAGTGTGAAAATATTAAGGCACTGAATGGACTCGAACTCGTGTCCCCTGGCATCCAATGAACACGCACCACGACGGCTGATCTTCCAGTAACACAACCCTCCAGGGACGCGAGTTACCAGCCCATCGAGCTGCTTCAATATTTCCTCATTTATATACATATAAATAGTCCCCCGTGTTGCGAATACTGGAATGTGGGCGCCGTGCATGATACAACTCTTCCCTCCACAGGAGAAACAGGAGCCCCTCCAGGGAGGAGCGAAGAGCGACGATGAGAGTGGGGAACCCGCCACCACCATGTCCACTGGGGAGCCTCCACTGGCCGAGGGACAAGACAACGGTTCCACTGTCGTAACCACTGAGGAGGAGCAGCAGCAGCAGCCCGTCGAGAGTGAGTCCTGAGGGAGAGAGAAACATCTCACCTGTCAAAAATATCGTTCAAAAAGATTGATGGATGAAGATTAAGCCACCACAAGAGGTGGCACGGGCATGAATAACCCGTAGGGGGGGGGAGATGTTTGGAGTGAATGTGGTCTTTGGTCGTGTAACATCTTCAAATGTCTCTGGGGGGCCCTCTGCCCCCAAAGGGAGGCTGGAGAAGGGTGAAACATGACCCTGACGGAGGCAAGTGGGTGAGGCGTGGGAAAGGTGAGGTAAGGGAGCTTCACAGGATGGATTACATTATGAAGGAAAACGGGAAATGTAGTCACCATTTGGTCATCATTTGGTCCGGGAGACATCTCCCGTCACGCAGGGTGCAGTCGCACCTCCACAGATCTCCAGTATCATCTATTGATACTGGTGATGGCTCAAAAGGGCCACCACTTACGGGCTATTCATGCCCGTGTCACGTTTTGGGTGGCTTAATCTTCATCAATCAATCGAAATGTAGTGTGAGGGGGGGGGGGGGGGGGTGGCATGTAAATTATGAGACGGACATTCCAAGGGAAGAGCACCAGTCATTGTCAGAAACTCCTTCCTGGCGTTTATGACGCAGGTTGACCACTGCTGCTGTATACGTGGGAGAGACCAACTCCCGGACACTGGCATCACTAGAGGTCATCTCTAGTGATGACCTCTAGTCATCACTAGAGATGTTAAGCTCTCCCACCACCATGGAAGTGAGACGAACTGCGTGGTTCAGAATGTTCGGTAATATGTTTATTGCTTGTGATGTGTGTCTATGTGTGTATTAACACGATGTACTGAACGGGGTGAGAATAGCTTGAACTACCTCATCCCTTCTTGAGGTTATCTTGAGATGATTTCGGGGCTTTAGTGTCCCCGCGGCCCGGTCCTCAACCAGGCCTCCACCCTCAGGAAGCAGCCCGTGACAGCTGGCTAACACCCAGGTACCTATTTTACTGCTAGGTAACAGGGGCATAGGGTGAAAGAAACTCTGCCCAATGTTTCTCGCCGGCGCCTGGGATCGAACCCAAGACCACAGGATCACAAGTCCAGCGTGCTGTCCGCTCGGCCGACCGGCTCCCTTTGTGTGTATTTTACCTCAATAAACATATTTCAATTTCAACTGCTTAGAGATGGCAACAGTAACATAGCAGGAGAAATACAAAACCCAAAATGGCGATATTTTCTTCTTGTAACTTCCCCTTCCCCCTCGTTTTGTCTTCCCTACAGAGAGGCCGATGACCAAGAAGGAACTCAAGTCCGTGCAGAAGTACAACGGGGCCGCCGACCAGGTCCTCAAGGTGCTGTCGGAGGCCATGAAGAAGGTGGAGCCGCTGCCCATCACAGTAGATGAAGAGTAAGTTGTCTTCTTTCTCCAGAGGAGTCTACGGACGCCAGTTGTTGTTATAGATTCAGCTACTCGGATCAAGTTCCAAGTAGCACGGGCTATGGTGAGCCCGTAACTTACCAGGAGCGGGGCAAGAAGCACGGGCTATGGTTAGTTAGCCTCGTGGACGGGAGATGTCTCGGACGCCAGTATTCACATCAATTCTTATGAGGTCGGATAGACGGGGCCGGGGGGGCGGGGGGGGGGGGGGGGGTTGGAAGGGGTTGGTGGGAGGTTGGAATGGAGGGGAAAGGGGGAGGGGGGTGTATCTCAGGACGTAAGAATAATCCATAACTCACAATTTGTGACTTATGGGTCGATTGCGCACTATTATCCCCCCCCCCCCCGTCCCCTTTCCTGACCTAAGGGTCAAGCTCGCATCTGAAACCTTTTGGATATCAAATTGTTATTAGACTTAATACTGATGTTGATATCATGTTTATCATCAATGTTATCGAGCATCTTACTACAATACCGTAGCATCTCATAAAAGGTGAAGGAAAGACCCAATAAATGTATACTATTAATATAATATAACTGTATAATATTAGTATATTTTGGTAGCAGTCTTCCCTGTAGACATATTTTATTAAGTATGTCTTTTTCGGTCATATTTAATAATATATGTCTACAAGTGTATAATTATACACTTACGCGTGTATTGGGTCGTTCCTTCAGCTTCCTTAACGGTCTCCTTATCCTCAACGTCGCTACCATCTTAATTATCACAGTGCATTGTAATTGTGACCCAAAATCAACACGTTATCTTCCTCTCACCAGGACGCTGAGAATTCTGGAAGAAGCCGAGCCAGAGACCGGGCCGGAGAGCGACATTGAACCCGAAGAGGAAGCACACAAATCCAGAAGAAAGAAGAAGAACAAGAACAAGAGGAGGAAAGCCAACAAGAACGGCGGGAAATCCGACTTGGAACAATCCGAGACGACAACAAATAACAAGAACAAAAACAAAGACGGTGATGAGGTAGAGGATAATAATAAGCGACGAAGGAAGAACAAGAACAGGAAGAACAAGAATAAGAACAAGAACAAGAACAAGGACAAGGACACTGAGGGCCAAGATGCAGTACAAGAAGCCGAGGAGACGGAGCCGGAGGTCGCTGAGGCGGACTCGATTCCCAAGCTACACAACAAAGGAAAAGGCAAGAACAAGCGGAACAAGAACAAGAGGAAGAAGAACAAGAAGAACAAGAACAAAGGGGCGTCGACCCGAGATGCGAAGGCTATGAAGGATGACGAAGAGGTCGAAGAGGATTATCAAGAGGTAAGACTTCAGAGTAACTGGTCGAATGTGATTCCTCTTCCTCTCTCTCTCTCTCTCTCTCTCTCTCTCTCTCTCTCTCTCTCTCTCTCTCTCTCTCTCTCTCTCCCTCCCTACCTCTCACCTTCCTTCCCTCCCTCTCTGGTAAGGTAAACATGGAGAGGTTTGGTACCACCAACACCCGGACGGACAGCGGCTATACAGACACTCAACTTACAGACCCTAAGTTCAGGTTTCTTTAGCGAGAATAATTATCGTGTCACGAGAGTGAGTGTGTGTGTGTGTGTGTGTGTGTGTGTGTGTGTGTGTGTGTGTGTGTGTGTGTGTGTGTGTGTGTGAAGATGGGGAGGCGGGAAGGATGTCATAATTCGAAGATAATATTTGATGTTACTTTTGACAGGAGGAAGACAGCTTGGTGGAAGGTCGCCGCACAGGAGACAAGGGCAACAAGAAGCACGCCAAGGGCAAGAAGGGGAACAAGAAGAATAAGAAGAACAGGAAGCACAAGAAGAACAAGGGCAAGAAGAACAAGAATAAGAACAAGAATAAGAACAAGAACAAGAGCCGCTCAGAAACTCTGGATTTCGAGGAGAGAGAAGAGTGAGTCGGGTCCCATGTTGTGTTCTCTGGCCTTAATATCCGCGTCACCTCTATAGTGACCGCTTCTCTGATCCTTTCATGGCCATCATGGCACAGCCGGTAGTGTGTGTGTATACCCTCAGGAGTCCAGGGTTGCAGGTTCGATCCCATTACATCACTTCAATATATTCTCACGCATCATTTTCTCCCTCGTTCCGTAGCTCCGGTCCCGTCCTGCCCACGCAAGAGGAGACGGAATCCGCTAACGCCAAAGTCACAGGCCTCAGTCGCCTGACCCGAAGTGGAGACGTCAGAGTCGATCTGTCCGGTAACCACGCTCAGGTAGGTCCTCCTCTTCCTGGTGGGGGTAACACCCAACCCGCGAGAATTTGACCATTCTGTACCAATGAAATTGCACAAGAGAACGGGGCCAAAAGTCAGTGGCGCAACCTCTCGTTCGCTCCCGAATGACGCGCGGTTTTCTGTCTTGCAGTTCGAAGCGACGTTCCGAGTGGGTCCTCTGAGCTTCCAGTTGACGGATAAGGCCCGCGCGCTGGCTAAGACCCAGGTCTCCACCAGCCTCGACGCCCGCGCCCTCTTCAAGGTCAAGACGGTAAGTGGTTCTTTCTCTGTGCTGGCCCGCCATGACACCGAAAACTAATGCAGGGTGGAAATAAGGAGAAGGGAATCCATAAGAGGGAGGAAGGGAATCCAAAAGACGGAGGAACGGAATCCAAAAGAGGAAGAGAATCCAAAAGAGGGGGAGGGGAGGGAATCCTATTTCCTCATGAAATTTTCCCTGTAGCACAGTGGTCTACGTCCTCGGCCCACAACCGAGGGACCCGGCTTCAATCCCAGGGCAGAGCAGAAACAGTTGGGCACGTTACCTTTTAATCATCTGATGCCGCTGTTCACCTAGCAGTTACATAGATACCTCGGAGTTAGGCAACTCTTAAGGGGGTTGCATCCTGGGGAAAAATCAGTAGTTGAAGTGGGGGTAACCTTGATAAGTCTACACGCAGGCTTCCTGTCCCCGACATTGGGAATTATTAAGGAATTATTACTCAATTATTATTAAGAAATTATTACTCGATTATTATTGAGGTATTATTATTAATTTAATTTAATTATTAAGGAATTAGTTATTAAGGAATTATTAAGGAATCAGTTATTAAGGAATCAGTTATTAAGGAATTAATTATTTGTTATGCAATTAATTATTAATTGACGAACTATTAATTAGGTTCGTGGACGAGACAAGATCAAGCTCTTGAAGTTGGAAGTGGTGGACCTGTCTCCTGAGCAGGTGACCGTGTCCCGCTCTGACCTGACCTTTGACCCCGAGGTGGTCTCCGCCGCCCAGCAACTGGTTCGTACATCACCTGTTTGTCCCTTTTGTACCCTAGTGGTGTGTACCTAGTAGTGCGAGGCTCGTGGTCTGGCGGCTCGGGCTGACCGTCGCTAGGGTTGCTCTTACCCCTTCGGTATCTATGGAAGAGGCGGAACCAAGGAGCTTAAGGTCAACCCCCCTGCAAGCATTGTTTGGCTAGTACAGGAAGGTGGACGTCTCCCGTGCTAATAATACGTCTTAGGTCCAAAACCCCCCAAAAATGTTGAATTTCTCTTAGATAATTTAGCGGGTGTCAGCCTAGTCAACCCCCTGTGCTAGCCAGAGGTCCTAGATCACGGGTAAGCAACTCTTGGCTGACATGCCAAGTATGGCGCGTGTGCCAAGGGTTCCCCATTCCTGTCCGACACCTGACTTGGCCGCTGACTTGTGAAACATTGATAACTAGATATTGACTCTAGATAAGGAGTCGTCAGCCTTCAAGTACCTTCAAGATGCCTTTTACCCTTAAGCTGTCTGACGTAAAGACCAAAGCATAGACTAAAGGAATAACACCCATTTTCTATACTTTAGACGCCTAACTTATCAAAACTTATTACCCCAAACAAACAAAAAGATACAGTTTAATCTCTATTCAATTCTTTAGGGGCAAAGAATTTAATGTAGACCGAGTCATAAATGTGAACTTGTGACGTGATCCAGATCTTATGGATTAAGTAAACCAGTTTCCCATTTTCCTGTTACAGGTTGTTGGAGCGGTCGACGCGCCTCGCGTTGGTCGCATCCTGGCCCAGGAGCTGGAGCAGATCTTCAGGGAGGAGGACATTGTCCAGAACCTCGGGGATCACCCGCTCCTCAAGAACTAACTCTCAGCTCCGTCGTTTTAAGAAGACCCTTCCAAGTCTTGCCGTGTATGATGTTTTCATTGTCAACACATTCTAACACTCAGGTTGTGCGTGTCCATGCGTGCGTGTCCCGCTGTACAGGTGGAGCCAGGGGACGTGTCTATGCGTGTCCCACCGTATAGTGGAGCGTGAGCACGTGTCCGTGTGTCTATCCCTCTGGACCATCTCGTTTCAGAGGGAAATAATTATTGGTATGAAAGTGCATTACCAGTGTTTCTGTACTACACATAACTGTTTGTATTAACCTGCTGCCATAGCCAAAGACGCAGTGCGTTCTTCTTTATCCGCGCTGCTTGAGAGCGCCGGCCAGCGACTCTACGCCGGCCAGCGACTCTACGCCGGCCAGCGACTCTACGGCGGCCAGCGACTTACGCCGGCCAGAGACGCCACGCTCACTGGTAGACAGGAACGGAAGCTTGAGGCCATAGACAGAGTCGCGGTCATCCTCTCCGTGTTTTATAATCCTCTAGACCCTCTTCAGTATTGTATAAGGTCAATGAAGTTAGACAATCACGACGGCGTCCACGCTAAAAAGCTTTCTGTGCCAAAGCTGTTGCTGCGGAAACTGAGTGTGTCGAAGCTGGTGATTGGTGAAGAAGTTGGTCATACTGAAGAGGATGCTGAGGAGACGGGCGAAGCCTGGCCCCAGGCCGGGCTCGGGGGATAGTAGAACAACTGAAATCCTCTTCAGGTATACTCCAGGTGTACCCGGCGTCTCACTCCCTGGCAACTTCCCCCCACCACCAGATATAAATCTAATTTCGTTATTCTCCGCACCCATACACCCGGCTGAGGGCCGTGTACAGCTCCGTCCAGATGGCGGCGGCGGCGGCGGCGGCCACCTGGCCCTGCGAAGTAGAGACATAGCCTCTCATCCTCATTAAAATAACCCACTCACCTAATCATCCCTAATTGCCACATAATTACCCCCGTGTAAATAGTGTGACAGGTCACCACCCTCCCACATATCACAAGTCTCTTTGTTATTTATTGCTAATTTATATTATGTGTATAATGGCTCTGGCATTCACGAGGCAATTAAACATTGATTAAAAAACATGTGTTTCAGTGATCCTTTTTTTTAAAAGCAATGAGGGTTGGCCGTCAGGGCACGGGCTTGACCCGGGGGTCAAGAAAACTCCCAGTTTGGGTATTATACAGGGCGTCCTAGTCCAAGCCACCACGGGAGACATCTCCCGTCACGCAGGGTGCAGTCGCACCTCCACAGATCACCAGTATCAGCTCTTGATACTGGTAATGGCTCAAAAGGGCTACCACTTACGGACTATTCATGCCCGTGCCACCTCTTGGGTGGCTTAATCTTCATCAATCAATCAATCCAAGAAACGACACCCTCCTGCCCAGTCTTTAAAGTTACCTTCAGTATGCAGCAATGTGAACCATTCAAATGATAAACCTGAAACTCGAAGCCACAAATGGCACCCACGTGGAAAGAACGCGAGCTAACGGCACATCCTAGGATGGATTGATGAACAGACCACACACTAGAAATTGAAGGGACGACGACGTTTCGGTCTGTCCTGGACCATTCTCAAGTCGATTGTCGACTTGAGATTGACAACAATCGACTTGAGAATGGTCCAGGACGGACCGAAACGTCGTCGTCCCTTCAATTTCTAGTGTGTGGTCTGGTCAACATACTTCAGCCACGTTATTGTGACTCATCGCCTGCATTGATTGATGAAGATTAAGCCAGCCAAAAGGTGGCACGGGCATGAATAGCCCGTAAGTGGTGGCCCTTTGGAGCCATTACCAGTATCAATAGATGATACTGGAGATCTGTGGAGGTGCGACTGCACCCTGCGTGACGGGAGATGTCTCCCGTGACTTCCTAGGAAGTATGTATTATATATATAAATGTGTATGTGTATGTGTATGTGTATGTGTATGTGTATGTGTAGTGGTGGGGGGTGTGATTCTCGTCAACAGATACATATACCAGGGGGGAGAATTTTTCATGGGACCGAGTAACAAGATGTCAACCACTTGGGCTGGACGGTAGAGCTACGGTCTCACTACATGCAGGTCGGCGTTCAATCCCCGACCGTCCGAGTGGTTAGCCACCATTCCTTTCCCCACCGTCCCATCCCAAGTCCTTATCCTTATCCTTATCCAAGTGCTATAAAGTCGTTGTGGCTTGGCGCTTTCCCCTGATAATTAAAAAAAAGATGAATAATAATGATTTATGATAGTAATTGAATTGACTATATATGATCTGGTGGATGTATATGATGAATTGACTATATGATCTATAAATAGGATGAGGAAAGACGTGACTAAATACTGGTTCAGAAACAGATTTGAGGGTTTATGAATAATATTGACAGTTAACATAGTAATAATTATGTAAAATAATAATTAATAACAAAATTATTACAATTATTAATATAATAGAGGTGGGGGGCGCTGAATTATTTCAAGTGTAGGACACACACACTTATATATAAGTGAGTCGACTTGTATTATAAGTAGGAGTTGCCTCGTACGGGCCAACTGATCTCTCTCTGAAAAGAAAAAACTTGTGCAATTTTCCTTTGTAATGTCCTCACCATTGTGGCCTCCGTGGCCCTAGTGTGGCCTCCGTGGCCCTAGTGTGGCCACCGTGGCCAACCGTGGCCCTAGTGTGGCCACCGTGGCCCTAGTGTGGCCACCGTGGCCCTAGTGTGGCCACCGTGGCCCTAGTGTGGCCACCGTGGCCCTAGTGTGGCCTCCAAGCAGGCACTGGTGCCTTGGTGTCCCGTAGGGTGCAAGGTTAGTCGCCACCAATATCACTACTTTATCAGCAGGGGTCTGAGTGCCTGTGTCCACCCCCTTTCTCTCTCTCTCTCTCTCTCTCTCTCTCTCTCTCTCTCTCTCTCTCTCTCTCTCTCTCTCTGTCTCTCTCTCTCCCTCTCTCTCTCCCTCTCTCTCTCTCCCTCTCTCTCTCTCCACCCTCCCACACCAACACAAACACGCCAACACAATGCCCCAAGGCAGGACATCACACAACAAAGGTGGTACGGTGTTTAGTGTTGACTACAGCATAGAATAAAGGGAACTTTACCCCCCCACCACCCTACCCCCCAAACCTGACACCTTTATGCATGGTGCCACCCACAACAGCTGCCACTCACCCTGCCATTGACCACACGACTCACCACACTCAAACTTCCGCCCCAATTCCGCCGAACATCCAGCTTGATGAAAGTGTTCAAACAGCGTCGAACTCATCATCAGAGCGACGGTCTCGTGTTCTGCAGGTCGGCGTTCAATCCCCGACCGTTCAAGGGGTTGGGCACCATTCCTTCCCTCCCGTCACATCCCAAATCCTTATCCGTAGCAGCTGTCTAACTCCCAGGTACCTATTTACCGCTAGGTGAACAGGGGCTTCACGGTGAAAGAAACTCTGCCCGATTTGTTTCTGCCTCTGCCAGGGATCGAACCGGGACCCTTAGGAATAAGACTCCTGAGCGCTGTCCATTCAACCCCCTAACCCCCCCACCACCCCACAGCCGTGTGTGTGTGTACTCACCTAGTTGTGCTTGCGGGGGATGAGCTCTGGCTCTTCGGCCCCGCCTCTCAACTGTAGCAAGGCAGTAAGGAAACAGAGGTGGGGGGTATTACTGACCCCCGGGCACCCCGGGCTGCGGGCTCCCATCAACCCACTGTTGACTTACTGCCAATTAAACTTCCCTATGCCAATTTGAAGCCTTCAGGTGCCTCTCAGCGAGCCACTCCTTGTGAGGGAGACTGAAAGGAGCGGTTGCTTGTGTAAACTGTGGGACGAGGGGAACCTTACTACGGGAGAGGCTTTTATTGTAGTCTGCCATGGGAGAGTGAAAGGAAGGTTGTCATGGGAGGGGTAGTTATGGCTGTCTAGCAGGTGTGGGGAGGGTATTATTACCATGGGAGGGGTAGTTATGGCTGTCTAGCAGGTGTGGGGAGGGTATTATTACCATGGGAGGGGTAGTTATGGCTGTCTAGCAGGTGTGGGGAGGGTATTATTACCATGGGAGGGTAGTTATGGTTGTCTAGCAGGTGTGGGGGAGGGTATTATTACCATGGGAGGGTAGGTATGGTTGTCTAGCAGGTGTGGGGGAGGGTATTATTACCATGGGAGGGTAGGTATGGTTGTCTAGCAGGTGTGGGGGAGGGTATTATTACCATGGGAGGGTAGGTATGGTTGTCTAGCATGTGTGGGGGAGGGTATTATTACCATGGGAGAGGGGGGATTATGGTGTACCAACATGGGTGGAGCAGCAAGATCGCCTATATCGGAAACCACGTCACTGAAGCCTTCGGTAAACCTCAGATAATCCTCTAAAAACCTCAGGCTACACTTCGGGTTGTCTCCCGAAACCCTGGGAACAGGCTCAGGTAAACCCCCGGAAGGTAAGGCGTAGAAGCCTGGAACCGAACTCATGAACACAAGTTGAGGAGATGCCTGTTAAGTGATCTTACTGAGAGTGTCTAATTGATTTAGCTTTGCTAAATGCTAGTGACCTTGTGTGTGTGTGTGTGTGTGTGTGTGTGTGTGTGTGTGTGTGTGTGTGTGTGTGTGTGTGTGTGTGTGTGTGTGTGTGTGGGGGTTGGCTAGTGGCCTCGTGTGTGTTGGTAGATAGACAAGAGGCAGCGTGTTGGTAGATAGACAAGAGGCAGCGTGTTGGTAGATAGACAAGAGGCAGCGTGTTGGTAGATAGACAAGAGGCAGCGTGTTGGTAGATAGACAAGAGGCAGCGTGTTGGTAGATAGACAAGAGGCAGCGTGTTGGTAGATAGACAAGAGGCAGCGTGTTGGTAGATAGACAAGAGGCAGCGTGTTGGTAGATAGACAAGAGGCAGCGTGTTGGTAGATAGGTAGATATAATTGTAGAATAAGACAGGTAACACATGGGATTGTGTATTGGAGTCTTCAGCCTCTTCGTAATTCCGTGTCGCGACAAAGAGGCGGGAAAGTGTGTTCGTACACAAAGAGCGCCAGGCTTTTGTGTACGAACTTGTGCTCCAAATATACGAACAACAAAAGCGTGCCAAACTATGGAACGACCCTTGTCCAACGATCCTTGGTCGTTGGACAAGGGTCGTTCCCCAGCGAAACAAGCACTATTTGAAGAAAAGCATGGTTATACCCCCCCTACTCATGTCTGCTTTTACCAAGCATTATGAGGTGGGAGCTTGGAACACAGGGGGGGGGGGGAAGATATTTGTCCAGCATTCATGAGGTAATGTTCCCAGTTACCTCACACTACGACCTTAACTATATCACCTTCCCCTTGAACTCACACACTCCCCCCTCATCTCTCATGAGTCACAAACGACTCTTCTCAACCTTACCCCTCATTGTTGCTTCGACCCTCATCACCTCTTCCTCCTCCTATCCCCCTCTAGCAGTAAACAACACCCCCCCCCCACCCCCACCATCTTTCCTTCTCTAACCTACCGCCAAATACACAAGTCTCCCCTTCACTCCCGCTCGTCTCGTCCTTAAGATTATAAAAATATCAAATTTGAGGCGGTTTTGCGTCTCTCCTTACTACGTGTTTTACTGCTGGGGTGGTCGTTAGACTAGGGTCGGTCCTCAGCTGGCGTGGTCGCTGGACTAGGGTCGGTCCTCAGCTGGCGTGGTCGCTGGACTAGGGTCGGTCCTCAGCTGGCGTGGTCGTTAGACTAGGGTCGGTCCTCAGCTGGCGTGGTCGCTGGACTAGGGTCGGTCCTCAGCTGGCGTGGTCGCTGGACTAGGGTCGGTCCCCAGCTGGCGTGGTCGTTAGACTAGGGTCGGTCCTCAGCTGGCGTGGTCGCTGGACTAGGGTCGGTCCTCAGCTGGCGTGGTCGCTGGACTAGGGTCGGTCCCCAGCTGGCGTGGTCGTTAGACTAGGGTCGGTCCTCAGCTGGCGTGGTCGTTAGACTAGGGTCGGTCCTCAGCTGGCGTGGTCGTTAGACTAGGGTCGGTCCTCAGCTGGCGTGGTCGTTAGACTAGGGTCGGTCCTCAGCTGGCGTGGTCGTTAGACTAGGGTCGGTCCCAGCTGGCGTGGTCGTTAGACTAGGGTCGGTC